GGTGCCCAGTAACCATAGCTATTTGCTTGTTTGCTTAACAAAAGGAATACATAAGTATACCACACAATGGTATTTTCAACTTCTATCAGTTGATTTCATAACTTACAAAGGGTTAGTTAGAGTACTTAATAGTGAAGGCATAGGGTTCTATAGCTGAACAATGAGAACAGTTATACTCAATTAATAAACAGCTATGTATGTCTACAGAATTGTCTCCTTTTCCCCTATAAGCTACTTGCTCATTCTTTCAGGATTCTATATTTTTGCTATAGATATAGAGATTCAGCTTCCTAGAATAATCTTCAAAAATATTTCTGCATTGTAGACATGTATATTACTGTTAGTCAAATTTTTTTTCCAGAAATGACATTCTTCATTCTTATTACACTCTTCCCCCAATCCCCAGGTACTAACTCTAGTGAAAGTTTTCAGTGTTTTACACTGTCCTTTCTTACCTCTGTTGTGGGGTGAACATTCTCAACTAAGATGAAGTAAAGTCTGAGTCAGGAAGGTTTAAGCTGCAAAAACAATACCTTAAATGGTTATTATTTTATTTCACAACTATTCCAAAAGTAAGCAGTGAGGGACAGCATATCTGCTGAAGGATGACATCAGGGTCCAGGGACCCTATGGAAAGGCTTTCCATGAGATTTTTATGATCTTGGTGACATTTCATTTATGCAACTCTAGACATCACAGTTCATTTTATAGAGGGAAATTAGAAACTAATGACAAAAATGAAGTGTTTGGCACTGAGTTTGTCCCTTTTACAAAACTTTCATGGAATATTTGAGTATTATCTGTATCTCTGCAAAAAGCTAATTAAAATTACTTCAGTTAAAGGAGAGTCAACAGCAATAAATTGAATTTTATATTTAGTTTCCATATATCTTTGAGTCTATTGTTTGAAGAACTTGTGTAAGCATTTCCCTGTCAATACCTTAAAGTTGAAAATATACACTGTAGAACAAAAAATAAAGCTCAAAAATTTTATCTTTTTATGAATCAGACTAGTCCAGTGACTCCACCCAAATTTCTCAATTGGTCAGAAGCATGCCAAGACTAACATATATGTTTCGCAATACTTGCTTACTGATTAGCCTGATTTTTCTATATTTATCTGAAGGAAATAGTACTCAGTCATTTTGATAACTCAGTTCTTAGGTTTGGTTCTCAAAATTTGAGAATTGGTGTATTTGTACAATATAATGAAGAAATAGGAATTGTGTGTGTATGTTGTTTTAAGGAGGTAAAACAACCAGAGAGATTAAGCAGACCTCTTCAAATTCTCTGTAAAAAAGGAAAAAGAACATGTTACCTACAGGCTAATATCAGGTTCAACACATTTGAACATATGAACATATGATGAAAAAGATAAATTGTTAGGGATTCTGAGAAGTGTGCGGAACTTGAAAACTGACATTATTTTCCCGAGTCTAGTAAAAGAAAGGTTAGTTAGAATATAAGGTTAGTCAGAACTTTGGGGCTGGTAGGGTCATATAGAATATAAAGTTATAAAGTATTGCAGAAAACTGAGTTCAAATGTCAAAGAGGTACCCTACTGCATATCTTCTATGTTTATTTGGCAATGTTGGTGATCAGGCAGGGCCTTGAACATGCTGGGCTAGTGCTTTATCACTCAGCTACTGCCCTAGCCCTGTGCATGTTGTTTTGTGACTTACATAAACTTTATGTTTGTCTTTATTAGCTTTCTGACTCATGAAATTGCTTAGAGGAGGTATCTTTTATTTCACACGGATAACTAAGGCTTAAATACAAGTAACTGGCTTAGGGACAATTTGAAGCACAGAAAGATGATTCCAGCTCACACTAGGATATTTAAGGCCTCTAGCCCATATAGTGTTTAAATAAAATGTAGGGACAGTTCAGAGAATTCAAGAAGGAAAGGAAAGGAGATTTCTGCACACAGACTAAAAGTGGGGAAACTAGTATGCTTTGGGGGGAAAATGTCAATGGCCTGTTCCAGCTATTCTTTTACTCACTGTACAAACTTCAGGAATATTTTCAGAGTCAGAGCAATAACATACAGCTTTCTGGTAAGTAAATGGTTCAGACAGGTTCCTTTTCATTAACAAGTTTTACTTATCTTCAGGCCCAGGCAAACCCTATCACAGACATTCAGAAGAGGCAAACAAACCTTTTTGTAGTGATAATTGTTATCTTTCCTTTCCTCTTCTACTAACTAGGACTCCTGGTAGGTTATATTGAAGCTCAAAGCTAGTGGTTTTAATCCTCTATAGGTAATTTTTTTTAACTTCTCAACCCAGGCCTTTATCTTCTGTTGACCTAGCTGCTAAACGCGAGCTAGCAGCCTACAGACCCACCTGCCATTGCATCCCAGGCTGGGAGTTTCCAGATGTAGTTGTGGATGGCTATCTACATAAGGATTGTATCCAATCCTTATGAACAAATGGTGTGATCACAGCCTTCAACTTCCATCAGTGCTCCAACCACTAGGAAAAACTTGTGAGGCCAGGCCCTGGTGTCTCCCACCTGTAATCCTAGCTACTCTGAGGACTGCAGTTCAAAGCCAGAAGGGGCAGGAAAGTCCATGACACACATATTCTCTCTCTCTCTCTCTCTAATTGCAACAATGAGATGTACAAGTCGTTATGTCGAAAAATGAACTTTACAACTTTGGTGGGGGGGAAGTGGGGAGGATTGGGGGGTCAGGGGGAGGA